GTGACTCAGTTTCCTCAGAGTCTTCACTGGTCTGCTGTAGGATTAAATTTGTTAAAATAATTCAAGGTTACACAGTGCCTAGTACAGAGTATTTGTCATCTTATCCTGGGAAATGCCCCAGGAACTGGGAGAGTAAAATCTCTTCACTAAACAGGGGCTGGAGAGATGGCTCAACACACAGCAGGCAGCTTACAGCTTCCTGTAACTCCTGCTCCAGCCTCCCCATGCATTCTCACACACAAGCACATAAACACAATGATACATAATGCCTTAGTTATGGTTTCTATTGTTGTGATAACATGCTGCAATCAAAAGCAACTTGGGGAGGAAAGAGTTTATTTCATCTCATAACTCAAATCGCACTCCATCACTGAGGGAAGCCAGGGCAAAACCTCAAGCAGGGCAGGAACCTGAAGGCAGAAACAAAAGCAGAGGCCATAGAGGAGTGCTGCACATTGACTTGTTTGCACATGACTTTTTCAGCCTGCTTTGTTATACACCCCAGGACCGTCCACCCATGGGTGACATCTCCCCCATCAATCACTAAGCAAGAAAAAGGCCCAGAGGCTTACCTACAAGCCAGTCTTATGGAGGTATTTTCTCAATCATGGTTCCCTCTTCTCAGACATGTCTAGATTTGTGTCAAGTTGATAAAAACCAAGCATTTTTAAAATTTCTCTACAAGACAATAGCAAGGATAGGGTATTATGGGAATAATAAGCGATTTCCTTCCTAAATAAATGTCACTGGGACAAATTGTTCTCACCAGCAGTCTTATTGTTTATGGATTTATTCACTGCATATCTCATCATCAGAAATTTCCTGTAAATATCAGTGCATTGGGAGAAGGACTATAAAGGAAAGAATGGTGGCCTCACACAGGCTAGTTATTCAAGGTGGACAGAGGTGATTAGAAAATTAGAAGTGCATGGACACCTGGGCCTGGGCCGAGCTTCCCAGAGGACCAGCATATGTCCCTCAGTCCCTTAGGAGTCTTAGTTTGCACTCTCAATCCTGTCTCCACCTTTCTCCCATCTTCCTCCCCTGAGCTGTGTCCCCCAGATGCTATCATTGCTCCAGCAAGACTTCCATGTCCCAAAGCATTCGTCCCTAGCAATGAAGCCCCACCTGGCAGGGATGGGAGAACAGGTAGAATCTCCTGCAAGGACAGTGATCTGTGACTCACTCAGTCTGTGAAATGTCCAAGAATGATGTGGGAATAACCAGGGCTTAAATTTGCAGAAGCCAAGTGGGTTCAAAAGTCCAGATATGTCCTCTGGGTAGTCTAGCTTGATGGGGAAATGATAGAAGATAAAAAGAAAGAAGCCATTTGGTGCAGGGAGAAGGCCAGTTTGCAGAAAGCCCTCTCCTTCATTCTCAGCACACCTTCCACATGCCTGCTGCCAACACTAGGCCATGGATAAAGACTGTCTAGAGGAGCTGCAGGCAGCAGGGGAGCTGACCAAAAGCTCAGGCCAACCATGAAGCAGTCCAAGTACTTTGATAGAGGGTCCTTGTGATGGCAGAAAGGCTCTAAGAGTCAGAATTTAACAAGTGAAGTTCTCACTTCGTTATCGATGGTGATGAGATACTCTGACTTAATAGTTCATCCTCAGCCTAGGGAGAGTCGCTCCTTTCTCTGTCCACCTTGCCCCTAGGCAGGTTGTGTTGGGCTGAAAATCACCTGTGTACAGAGAGCTCAGGAAACAGGAAGAAACTGACATCCTGGATCCTGCGGAGCCTTTAAGAACTGTGGCAATAGAGATTGGGGCTTTAGGGTAGAGCTTAGTATTAAAGCATATGTTTGGCATGCTCAGTGTCCTCGGTTTAATGCCTAACACTGTAAAGAAATAAGGGCAAGGAAATGTCGCAGGCAGCCGGCAGAGATGCTGTGGTGATACTTTGGTTCCACAAAGAATAAACATCCCTGTGGGAATAATGCCAAGGAGGAACACAAACAGAGCTGAAGAAGTGAGCCCTGTAAGCAAGACAGCATGGCGCTCGCTCTCAGGCCAGCACAGCCCTCTAGACAGGGTGACCTGATGCCTGCCCATGTTCACAACAGGCATCACCCCTTTTTCAAAGCTCCAAGAGCTGTATCTAATGAGCCACAAGCAGCAAGCCCACGTCTGCCTGACCTAGATGCAGCCTCTTTCTCGGCATCACAAATTGTCACTGTTTATAACTCTTCTATGACCAGGCCTTCACACTGGCCCCACCAGCCCAGACTTAGAGAAGCATCTCTTAGCGCCTCTCTCCTGACCTCTATATACCCATCTGTAAAGTTTCAGATTGGTCTTGTTTGAGTCACATGCTAACTTCAAAAGCAATCACAAGGCCCCATGTGGCAGGGAAGCATGATGAATGTGCCTCTGTCCAGAACAACCTGCAGAGTCACAGAAGACTTCCCAGAGAAAGTAGTTTTTACCATAAGCAATTGAGTAAGATTGTTCCAGCCTAGACTCTTAGTAACAGTGTTTGCACAAAAGACCAGTAAGGGAAAAATTCAAGGGTGCTTTGGAGTGTGACTTGTCACAGTCATCCCCCTGTCTGGTGCCCGGCACGGCGCTTCACACTGACTCTCAGAAAGTGCTTCAGGAATAAAATCCACAATATGCTGTGTGGTCTCTAAGAACTTCCACCTCCTTCTCCATGTGGTAGTGATATCATCCTACCCTTCCAGGACTGTGCAGGGTTCAATTCATCCCATCTCTGAATATATATTGAGCACTCCTCAGTGTTCTTGTGGCTCTGGGCCTGCAGGACATAAGGCCTTCTGGAGAGAAGAAGGTGTCTGAGGCTCCTAAATTGACGTGGAGGCAGAAATGAGCAGGGAGTGTCGGAAGGGCAGGACAGCGCAGAGGCCAGGACGTGGAGGTGCTGGTGGCTCTTGGTCAAGGAGGAAAGGCACAGCTCTCAGCAGCTCAGGCCCTCCTCCCAACCCTTCTTGAATTCCCTCCCCCACACCTTTCCTACCTGCTAGATATCTAGGCCACCCAGGCCTGGCTGCTTCTAGAACAAGGAGACCTTTCCGCTACACCTCTGCAACCTGAATGACCAGTTGTGATGAGGAGAAAATGCTTTCCCTCCCTGGTTACCTGTTCCCGGTATCTTTCCCCTCCCTGCAACCCCCCACCTTCACCAGCAGACCAGTGCCAACCTTCGGCCCCACAACACGAACGCCTGCCACAGAGAGCACACTGGGGACTCTGGAGGCTAGGAGCTCCTCAGGTGTCAGGTGGGCAGCCAGGAACTCGAGCAGGAGGACTGCCCTGCTGCTCCCCACCCCAACCCTGAAGCCAGCTCCTGCCAAGCTTGGTTACCCAGCCAGTCTTCTGTGCCCTGGCCCTCTCTTCTCCTCTAAACATTGCCTGGTTCCTCCATATCTCGAGGATCCACCAAGACTCCTTGTTCTTCCTCTGCCTCCTTCATATCCTTACCACCTTCCATCTCTGCTTCTGCCTCATTTTTTTTTTTATTTTTTCCTTCCTCAGCCCACTCCACCCTGACTGGGTCAGCTCTGTTTCTTTGCACACTCTGCTACTATTCATGTCTGACCTATCCCAGCCCCACCCTTCTACCCCACCTTCTGCCCAACATGTATATGGTGCTGGGCACAGAATGTCCTTCAGTTCTCATGTGGAAGCCCCTGGGCTACAAGTCACATTCCTAAGGACCCCTTGTCATTATGATATACCTTTTTTATCTGAAAACAAAGTTGTCATTTGAATCTGAGGGAAGCTAGAGGGTCTACAGAAGCTTTCTTGAGAGGAGATAGGGGAGGAAGAGGGGGAGACACAGCAAGGTAACAGCTCAGACTCTACTCAGAAGACCTGGGGGAGGGTAGAGCAGTAGGTGCCCTCCACTGGAGGTTTCCTTAGCTGTAACCATTGTTTAAATGTGAGTACATCCATGAAGACACCAGGGAGGCCAGAGATGCTTGACCTGATGCAGAAGGGCATTGGAGGCCTGTGGTGTGCAGCCCCGGCTCACCAAAGAGAGCCTTCGGCAGTTGGACACTGGAGACCGTTGATGTCTGTTAAGATAGAGTCTTGGGGGAATGAAAATTCTAGGGGGAAGGGGAGGAGGGCAGTGAAATCACAACAGACTTAAAAAGCCACTTGCCCCAGGCCTAACTCACCACCACCCAACCTTCCCCTCTAATTACCCCTGGCCTCCAGGAAGCTTTCAAAGCTACCACATTACTGGCAACTACCCAGTGCCTGAGGGCAACACAGGGGGTGTGGGAAGTATGACCCAGACCCTGCCTGGGAAGCAAAAGAGTAGAAAATTCTGGTTTAAGCTCTCTTCTGAAACAGAAAGTACTAGAAGTGGGACCCTGAGGGGATGCAGGGGATCCTGTAGCTGCAGCTATGTGTCCAAATCCCTCCTCTCACTTCTCCTGCTGAGTGACCTTGGGCTTAACCATGTGAGCTGCCCTTATTAATCCCTGAAAAGATTCTTTTTTCATACAGTACCTGGCTTGCCTGCCGGATGCCAGGCCAGGCTACTCATGTCTCTATACCTCAACCAAAGTCACTTGTGCTTGTTCCCTGATGCTTTTACTGGCTTGACAACCCTGGGTAGGTGGGCAGTCAGGCAGGAGTGGGGAAGAGGTGGAGAAAGGGAGGAAGGCAGGAAGAGGGGCGGGAATGAAGGAGAATCAGGTCTTCCAAGACGCACCTTCCTCCACTTTGTGGTCTCTGCATTCACTGGGGGCCTGAGTGAGGGAGGCACAAGGCAGGGGGAGAAAAAGCTGCTCCCCTGCTCAGGAAAGACAAAGAGAACCCAAACCAAAGGAGTCTAGATGCCAGACTCAGTTTCAGTACCCTCCCTGATCTTCAGACCCTAGAGGCCAGTTTGTAATTGGACTTTCTTCCCTCCACAGGTTAACGCTGACTCCAAGCCATTCTCCTTGGCAGGATGAGAGTGGCAGGTAGGACAGTGCTCTGAATTTGCTTTTCTGTTATCAGTGTCCACCCATGCCAGCCTCAGGGGTGATGCCGTATCTCCTGTCAAAGGTCCCAGCAGGAACTCTGGGAGGACAGCATGCAGGAGAACCTGGGAGAATCCCTCTGTGTGTGTCCAACCTTTGGACATTGTAACATAACATTGTCATCTACAAAGCCCACACTTTAGAACCACTAGTAAGTTACTTAAATAAGTAAACAAACAACTAATTAAATAACTAAATAAATAATAAGTGTTGTGTGTATTGTGCATATGTGTGCACAGGTATGCATAGAGGTCAGAGGTCGATGTAGGATGTCTTCTTCTCAATCTCGACTATATTTTTTGAGACACAGTCTCTCATTGAACTTGGAGTTCTCCAGATATGGAGCCCCTGGGACCTGCCTGTCTCTGCTCCCCTCCTCTGCTACTGCAGGGGATACAGACACACACCCCAGCACTGGCTCTGACATATGCTGGGGACCTATCCTTAGTCCTTATGCTGGTACTTTACCCACTGAGCCATCTCTCCATTCATTTAAAAAAATCTTTAACTGATTTTAAGTCTATGATTTTTGTGTTGGGTCGCATCCGTAGCCTCTCGCAGGCTGCCTGTGTCCTGTCGGACACACGTACAGACTGAAGGAGCTACACAGCGACTGCCCCGTGGCCCTATCCACCTGGATTCCCAGCTTAGAAGCACCTGGCTCTGGCCAGAAGTCAGACCACATACCATCCTCGAGGAGGGCTGTTTCAGGATGCTCATACCACAGGCAGCACAGTAAAGCAGAAGTCTTCGGGGCATACCCTCAGATGGACCCCTCTGTACAGGCATTGAAATGGGAGTGTGTGCAGTACACACGCCCCACTTATCCTCTCAGGTAACTATGAGAAAGCATGGCACCTGATTTGGGGTCAGCTTTCTTGCCTGGGTTCCAAACCTCACTTCTACCAAGTGGTCATGGGAAACATGCGGCTTCAGTTTCCTCATCTGTGAAGTAATACATTAGCAAGCACAAACATTTAATGGGAGGATGAATGGAGACAGTCTATCTTAAAGCTGTCAGTATAGTGCCTGGCACAGAATGAGTGGACTGGGGCCTGAGAAGAATTCTGCTTTGCAGGAATTCTTCTGTACCAGAAGACAAGGAGTATCCCCCAAACCAAATGAAATAATGTGGTTACTCTTTCTGATCCTTGCAAGGGATGGGCTCTTGGTTCCTTTCCCAGGTAAGGGATTGCTCCCTAGTGATAGGAGCCAGAGTCTGTGAGGCAGGAGAGACTGGGGAGCTATGCCTGTTCTGAAACTGCTGAATAAGTCCACTGTGTGATTATTTGTGGTGGCTTTGAGATGATTAAAAACATTGAAGACATCCCCAGTTCCCCAAGCCACCAGAATACTACCTACTACTAGGACTATAATACCAATAAACTAGGCCATTCATCTACCCATCCAATCATCTATCCACCTACTCATCCACTCTTCTACTCATTCATTATCTATCCATCTATCCACTACCTGCCATTCCATCCATCCATCTGTTTTTCTTTCATTCATCAAATACTCATTAGTACATGTTCTGTATACAAAATAAAACTCTGGCCTTCAAGAAAGTCACATTTCAGCAAATAGAGTCAAGTAACAACCAAGTAGTGTGATGATGGTATTTGCAAAGAAACAAGATGATGTGAGAGAGGCTAAATGGGGTGGGGGCGGGGTGAAGGCCAGAGACCTCGTGGTAAGAGCATTGCCATATTTACTCTTTGGGACTGACAGACTTTAGCTCAGAGAGCATGAACTCCTGCACATAGTACAGACTCCATGATACATCTTTGTGGGTTCTCTCTAGAAAGCTAACTGGAGCCCAAGGAAGAGCACTTTCAAGTCATTCACAATGGCTATTTGGGAAATGCTCACAAAATCTAATCATATGATCTCACTATCCTACCCCAGCATGGACTCTTATGGACTCAGCACATAGTCTCACAGTGTGGACACGACCTGTACCTACAATAGAGGATTTTTCATAGTGGCATTGTTGCTGGAATTTGGCAAGAACTCACATGGACTTGGCTTCCCACTGCAGCCTCCTGTTGGGGTGTGGTACATGATCTGGCAGAGTCTCTCTACTTGCAGGTCTCATTCGCATTGTGGCCTTCATCTTCACTCTGGTTGCCCTGTGGGTCTTTCTCCGCAGCTACATCAGCTTCAGCAGGAAAACCATCCGTCTGCCACGCTGGCTGGGTAAGTGGAGCTCATGGCCCATAATCTGCAGACCAGGGATGGGGCAATGAACACCTCTTTTCTGGAGTGACCCAAGAGCCAAACAGATGTGCCGAGCTGTGCACTGGCATTGTGCACTGCCAGGAAGTCTGAAGCCATGGGAACACAGAAGTGTTCCAAGGCCCTGGCCTAAGGAAGGACAGAGAAAGGAAAGAAGGAAATGAAGAAGAAATAATACTGTCTGAGTTTTGAGTGAAGAAGTAATGATACTATCTGAGTTATGAATGGCTTCTCCTACCTGCTGTTCCCTCTGCTTTAAACCCTCTCTGTGCAGGGCCTGCATGACTGCTTCATCTCACCTTTAGCTCTGTGCTCAAACATTACCACCTCAAAGGTCTTCCATGACTTCCCCAGCTCCAGCTGTAGCCTGTCCCCTTCATTTACCTCTTCCATGTCAGCCTATTTCTTTCCAAACACCATCATCATGTAATTTGTTTCCCTAGTTACTGCCTGACTCCACCTCCTAGAATATAACTTTCCTGAACACAAGGATTTTGTGGCTATGGCAATGCCAATAAGTATTTGATGAGTGAAAGAAAAAATGGATGGATGGATGGATCAATGGATGTATGGATGGATGAGTGGGTTTGTAGGTGGGTGGATAAATGAATAGATAAATAAATAGATGAATGGATGGCTACATTATGGTGCACAGATAGACAGATGAATGGTAGACAAAATGATAGGGGTGGATGTATAGGTAAGTGAATGAATAGATGAGTGGGTGAGTAGATAGATGGTGGATAGAAGAACTGGAGGGTGGGAAGATCGATAACTGATGAATAGAATGACAGGTGGGTAAGTGGAAGGATCATTAAGTAAATGGATAGATGAACTGATGAATGGATAAAATGGCAAGTAGGTGGATGAGTTAGTGGGTAGATAGGTAAGTAAATGGATAGATGTGTGGGTGGGTGAATTAATGATTGGAGAAGCAAGTAGATGGGTAATTTCTTACTGTTTTACCTACTCAGTCTCATGTAAGATGCACAAATACCCTCATAGAGTGGTCCTTGATGTGGTTGTATAATAGACTCAAGCATGATTTGTGGCATGGTTTCATGTGTGTTCTGAGAAAATAGAAAGTCAAGGAGACTTTTGAAACTAACCCAAGTTCTCCCTTAGAGATGTCAGAACAGGGATGGAGCCTGGGTATATATATTCAAATCCTTTCAAGAAAGAAGGGAAGGGGTGTATGTTCTTAGATTTGTCTTCTGGGAAACTGAGAACCACTACCATTGACAGAGTTCAACATGATCTCCAAGGACCAAAATGGCTCCCAACTTCCCAAGACAGTAAGAAAACAGGAACCCCATCTTTAGCACAACTACGGGGTGGAGGGTTTTGATAGCCTTGTGCCATCTGCCTCTTGTCAGCTGAGACACAGAGCCCACACTGAGACTTCATTTGTATAGACACTTAGTTGCTGCCATGTCCCTAATCCAAAGATACTTACTGCTTCTATAGACCATTGATAAATTCTGCGGCCTGCTGGCCTCAAGGAGATGTGAACCAGGCTATTTTCAGGAGGGTCATGGTGTCTCATACAGGACAGAGCCACAGTCAGAATGCAGTAGGTAACTCTTGTCGAGATTTCATCCAGTAACTGAATCTTTCAAAGCTCAATTACTTGGGAGCTGACAAACCAATAACTCCAACTCACAGGCATCAGGCCTTAAGCTCTGTATAGGATCACAGGGAACCCAAAATAAGGAAGAGGTTGCCCCCTGCTTAAGGTCTAAGACAGAGAAACAGACTTAGTTACAATGCTCCAAAAAAACAGCAGTGCATTCCCCTAACTCAGAGTCTGCAGAAATGCAGGTATGTGCCCAGTGGGGAAAACAGACAGAAACCCATCAGCTGCCCAGACTCATGGGCCAACTTCCCCTCATTTCACAGGCTCCTGCCCTGGGGGACATACCCTTATTTTATGATTTTATGTGCTGATACTAAAGCCTGTATATAACAGAACAAATATATCTTATCACTATTATACAGAAAGATGATAATAACTGGTTTCCTTCATAATCCAATCTGGTTTATTTTATGCACTTAATAACTTGAGCTCTGCTGGAGAAGAAAGTGCTAAGTATCCCAAGGGAGTGAGGATGGACTACTCTGAGAAGCTCACCAGCTTTGCCAGGCCACCAAGGCCCATAGTACAGGGATGTGGAGATTAAGAACTCCAGGCTTACCTGGAAAACTAGGCAGGAGACACAGAATCAACTCTAACTAGTTTCAGTATAACAGTGTCTCTTAAATCTCTTCATTGAAAAGTCAGGTAGAGTTGGTTCCAGGAGTACCACAAAGCCCCCCGGGCCCAACTTACTGTACCCTTGGATGTTGTGCTGTGTTTTGAAAACAGTCCCACATAGCCCAGCTTGACCTCAAACGGAGAATGACAATGAATTTCTGATCCTCCTGCCTTTGCCTCCTGAGTGCTGGGATCACAGATGGGCACCACTGCACCTGGCCTATGGGATGCTAGAAGTTGAACCCAGGGCTTTGTGCATGCTAGGCAAGTACTCTACCAATTGAGCCACATCCCCAGTCTCCTAGGTACTGCCTTCCTTCAACGGGGTAGAAGCTACACTCATGGTCAGCTTTTCTCTAGGACACATGATGGCTACCAGCTGCCCAGATGGCCATATTAGAACTGAAAAAGGCACTTCTTCACACACACACACACACACACACACACACACACACACACACACACACCAGGGCCAAGGGAATACATACTCAGAGAAGAGCTCTGTCTCCAGAGGATGGATGGTATTGTGGTTGGCTCAGCCTTGGTTGTTTGCTGGGATAGGACCCAGAAAAGGCACATTCCTTCCCAGACATTTTTGTGTTCTCTGAAGGAACCTGTTCTCTAGGACCCACCACAGTATGGTGGATACTTGACCTAGAAACCCAGAAAGAACTAGGACAAAGTGAGACAAGATGCCAGGCAGTAACCAGGATCCCTCAGGCCTAGCACAGATAGGCCTTCAAGAAAGAGATGACCCAGGGGCCACTGGATCCTCTCCACAGCCCAGGGAAGATGGATGTGATGCATTCTATGTGCTCTCAAGTAAACTGAGCCACATAGTGCTTAAATATCACACCCACCAAACACACAGGGTTAAGGCTCATTCTCCAGGTTTCTCACAGCATAGCACAACTTGATTTTAAACATGAATAATTTGTGTCTGTACATATGTATGTTTATGCATGTGTGTTGAATATGCATTTATGTGCATGTATGTGCCTGTGCATGAGTGTCTCTGCCTGTGCATGCATGAGTGTACATGCATATGCACCAATTTATGAATGGGTGGCAACAGCAAGTAAGAGAAAGCTCCCAGATATAACAGGAGCGCTAATTCCCATCAGTGGAACTGCATCAAAGTGTGTGTTCCCACTGCCCAGCTCTCAGCCCCCTCCTCCTGCAAGAGGCCTAAGTACCTTTTCCCTAACCAGATTCTTTCTCTCAAACAGGGGTGCCCTCCAAGGAGATCCGTGAGTATCTACACAGCCCCACCCCCTCATCTGTGCTCAGGCAGGATGTCCCAAGGTCTCTATTCCCAGTGCTGCAGGCCCCAGAGAAACACAGGTATCCAGAGTCTTCCTAGCCTACTTCCTCTGTGACAGTGGTGTCAGAAGCAGGGGCTGGGTGGCCCCTCTCAGTCATTCAGACCAGTAGAAAGGTGGCTCAACACTTTCCCTTCTGCAATTCCTTCTGGGTAGTCTAGACCAGAGGGCTCCCTATCTCCTCTAGAATTTCACCCTGTTGTGAGCCAGAATTGAAAGAAGGCTTCAGCAAGGACCAGGGCTCCCAAGGAACAAAGAAGGTAGAGGCAGAGAACATGACTGCTACTGACATTAGCTCAGGTTGAGCCAGATGATGCATTCTGTCCTCACAGGCAGCTCATATAAAGCTAACACACCCCCATGCGTGTTCCATGAGTGTTTCCCTTTTACAGGCTCAGGGGAGTGAAATCTCCTGGCTAAGGCCAAACAGTTGTAGTGATAAGTACAGGAGTTAAACACACCCATCTTGCTAGTCCAGAGACCATCTCCCCAACAGCTTTTTTTGCATAAAGCCTCCCTGCCAAGTCCCTCAACCCCTAACCCAACATGGTAATGCCAAAGAGAGCTGAGCTTCAGGGTTAGGATTTTATTGACTAAAGAAGGCATGAGAGCACAATGCATACAACATTGCAGAAAGCCAACTACAAGAATGAAGATAAACCATTTTACCTTTGATCTTATCCCTCTGAAGCCCCCTCAGTCCAATTCTGAACCAGATCCAAAGAGCTATGACATCTTGCAGATATCGTCTACTGAAAGGAATAGAAAACTCAAGCATATAGGCTACATTCTGCCCTTCCTGATCCCATGGCAGACATTACTAGTCAATTCCCACATCCTCACTCTCCAAACCCATAGCCAGCTTCAAGAGTTTTATCATTAAACCTTTCACAGTAGGTCCAAACTGACATTTAAGAGAAAGCCTTCTGGGGGCTGGAGAGATGGCTCAGAGGTTAAGAGCACTGGCTGCTCTTCCAGAGGTCCTGAGTTCAATTCTCAGCAACCACATGGTGGCTCACAACCATTTATAATGAAATCTGGCGCCCTCTTCTGGCATGCAGGCATACATGCCAGCAGAACATTGTATATATAATAAATAAATAAATCTTTAGGGGGAGAGAGAGAGAGAGAGAGAGAGAGAGAGAGAGAGAGAGAGAGAGAGAGAGAGAGTCTGCTAGTCCACTCTGATTGGAACCAACTTCCTGACTTGACAATGACAAAAATAATTGGAGAAGCTTCTAGCAAAACTACATAGCAGATTGGTGAAAGAGCAGTTTATAGTTCCTGATATTCCCCCTCAACATACACACACATACAAACATGCACACACACACACACACACACACACACACACACACACACATATGCACATACACAGTGCTCCTGGTAATACCCAAAGCAATGGCACCAGGGTTCAGAACAGCTATGGAGACAGCCCCTTCAGCCATAGCTCAGAAAGCAGATCCTGGCTTCCCTGAGATCTCCCCTTGGGCATCACTTCCCTTCATGCAGCAGCCTGATAGTGGATGCTGGATGGACAGGAAATCATTTCCAGAAAAGCCTGCCTAAGCTGTCCTATTGACACAGAGCTTGTCGGACTTAGCTGCAGTTGGCCGAGCAAGTCCTGGGAATTCCAGCTGTGGTCCCTGGAGCCTAGACTCTTCCCCGACAGTGAGGGCCAGGAAGACCCACAGCTATCTATCTTACTATCCATATCATCCTTCCCAGCCCAAAGCCAAGCCAATAGGCTCCATATTCAGCCTATGAAGATGGACTAAAGCCCAGGCACAGAATCTACTGGGATGATTCAGCAAGGCACATGCCAGGCTCTTAGCAAGCTCTGCAGAAGCAGCCTCTCTTAGAAAGCCCTCAGATTAATTCTAGGGTGGCCAGACCCTCAGCCAGAGTGCTGTATATTTGGATGCTGTTGGTGGAGGCCCTAAGGTGCCCAAAAAAGAACAAAACCCTAAGGCCCAGTCCCCTCCCCAGATGTGAGAACTCTGTGTTACCTTCCCAGGTGCCCCGAAGACCAAGTGTGGGCTCAGCAAGCCCTGCCTAGACAACTTCTTCGCATTTAAAATCAGCAGTGGGGCTGCCAATGTCGTGGGCCCCTCTATGTGCTTTGAAAATGAAATGTAAGTACCCAGGGTGGCTGTGTTTCTTTGCTTACATGTCATTCATTCATTCATCCATTTGAAAAGTCCTGTCAGGGCAGGCCTGTGAGGAAGCCCATGCCTTTCCCAGGTCACCTTTGACACCAGGTATGTGTCACAAATAGCAGTCAGCCGAAGAGCTCCCAGCTCAGCCACCCTTGCTGCACAGGTAGTTGAGCTGTTGTTGTCCCTGCTGTTAAAAAACAAACAAACAAACAAACAAACAGTGAGGCTCCATCAGGGTCACCTGCCAAGCTGGAGGCAGGTCTGTCTAACAGACAAGTTGCTGGGCTTCTGGTGTAAGGGATGCCCTGTGGGGGAAATCTATGAACCCATTCCAAGCCTCAACAGTTATGTTTATCCTGCCATGGAGAACAGATGGGTCTTTCTAAGACGATGCTGAACCTGTACACAACTTGCTTAGGCAAAACAGGGTCAGTCCTGGTCTGTGTAGTTGAAGCCAGAGGTTCAGGGTGAGCAGGATCAAGCAGCTCTAACTGACATCAAGTTTGCGCTCACATCATTCTTGGCTCTGTTTTCTCCTATTGGCTGTTTTTCCTCCACTGAAACTGGGACTTCTCTGTGAATGAAGGCGGCTGCCACACATTCTGACAAATTAGCACCACCTTAGCACCACCTCACCAGTATGAGAGCATTCCCAGACTGGTTCCTTGCTGCCTTGGGAGTGGAAAAATACCATCATCCTGAGGAAGGGGAGAACACAGAATGTGGAGGCTGAGCTGGTGGGAACCCAGCTGGGCTCCACAGGGGAACCAACCAGTCTAGGATGGCAAAATTTCTCCAATCTCTACTTTCTTGAGTCTTAGGGTGGGAGACCACCCTACCCTAGCATCTCAAAATCCCAGACAGAAACTCTGTGCAGACTGGCCCAAATGTGCCATGGACTAATGGGCTACCACACAAAGAACGCAGCCCACCATAGCCTTCTGGAAGAAATCCTACAGCCCAAGCCACTACATGTGTTTCCCAGTATGTAGGGAGTCTTTCTGTCCTACCAGCCTGCTCCCAAATCACTACATGGAGACTTATTGTTAATTATGAAAGCTTGGCCAATAGCTTAGGCTTGTTTCTAAAAGCTCTTATAACCTAAATTAACCCATATCTTTTAATCTATGTTCTTTTATGTGGCTCAGTTATCTTTACTTTGTATAAAGTCAATGCTGCTTGCTCTGTAGCCCTGGCATTTCCTCATGGCTCTGCCCTTCTTTTTCCCAGAATCCTCTCTGCCTCCAAAATCCTGCCTAACTATTTGCCATTTAGCTTTTTATTAAACCAATCACAGTGGCTGTCTTTACACAGTATAATCAAATATCTCGAAACACTAATGCCTCTGACCTGGGCCCCATGGGTAAACCTTCTCAAGGTCTCATCACAAAAGCAGAGCATTCCTTCTGTTCCTGGGAATACTGGCCTATTTTACTTTCCTTCATCTGCAGTATCATGAGTCCAGTGAGAAACAACGTGGGGAGAGGCCTGAACATTGCTCTGGTGAATGGTAAGTGGCCAGTGTCACACCTGAGACCCAGGAAAGGGACCTGCCACCTGTTGGGTCATCCTGTAGAACTCAGGACGGGGCAAGGCTGGATTGGGAGAGCAGCAGATCAGACAGGCCTGATCACCTAGGCTCCTGCCGAAGAGTTCACTGCTGTGAACCATGGCTCCACCCTCAAAACCACTCCAGCTTAGACCAACATACATGAAACCACAGTGCACACAGTGGCAGAGTGAGATCACATGCTGATTACATATCACTCTTCATTTCACAAGTATGAACACAATCTAGCACGAGCCAGGCCCTGGCTTCATGATCCCTATGGGTACCACAGTAAGGGAACGGAGATGCAACATGTGGGGCAGGTGTAATCACAGAAGGTTCCAGAGCAGAAGATGGTCAACTGCAGTTAAAAAAAAAAAAAAAAAAAACAGCAAGGAGAAAAGGAGACACCCCTTCCAGGCAACAGGGAAGGGAAGAGGGAAGAAAGGTTCTTTCTTCCAGACTGGGACTTCCTGTCTGGCCTATCACAAAGCCATCATGTTGAGCATATACTTTGTACAACTTGAACCCAGATCTGGCCAACTCCAGCTGGCAGCCTCCTTGGACTGCAGTGTCTCTAGGCAGGTGTATAGATCTGGGCCTCAGGCTCCTCATACATAGTAATTAGCCATAGTTAAACATGACTGGTTCCTAACCTCTCACTGTGCAGAGTTTCCTTTGAGAAACAGTTCAGACTATGCTGCTCACCTCTACCCTGACTCTAGAAACTCACAAATGAGCATACTCACGGAGACACATGGCCCCTTCTAAAGACCCCATGTAAAGCCCCATATGGCTCTGAGCCTTCGAGGGTTCTTCAGGTGAGCCTGCTCCTATTTCAGGGAGAATTGCCGCTAGCCATGCCAAGTGCACCATCACCAAACCCTCTGCAATACTACCATCTAGTGGTAAAGGTTGAGACCAGTGGCTTTCCTCCATATCACCAAGGGCATTTACCCAAAAACCCCAAAAGCAATCCAGACCCCAGAAATCTGAGGACCATTTATCAGTGAAAATTCCACGGCCTCCAAAGTTGGAAGATTTGGCTTGCAGGTTTCCCACTTATGTGGGAACAGTTATAAACATGCCCTATTATAGTTTTGCAGAAAATATATCTAGTACACTTACTGTTTTAGATATATTCCATTTCAAACTAACAGCCCATTGAATTTATGCAAAAATTAAGGGTAAAATGCTGACTCATGTGTGAGCAGCTGTCATGGCAGAACACAGATTCTGAGTGGTTATATTCTGTTGTGCTCTGGATGTTCAGCCAGTATGTTCTACCTTTCACATCAGCCCCAGCCCAGACAGTATTAGGCCCCTATTGTGCCCCTGATGACCTTCATAAGATCCCGTTTCATTCAGTTCTCACTCTGGTTTTAAGCTTTACAGTACCCATGGGCCAGATTCAGCAAAATGACAAGCAAGATGACTCATGATGTGGGAAGTAATAACTCTCTCTTTTCACTAGGAACTACAGGACAGGTGCTGAGAAAGGGCAGCTTTGACATGTACTCTGGAGGTAGGCACCTCTGTTGGCACTGAGGTCATGGTGGTGAGCTCCTTCCTGTGGAATGGTCACTTGGGGATGCAAGGATGGCAAGGCTGAGGGTTGTCTACTTTAGACACCTTCCTAGGGTCTGAGTTAGACTCAGGCACAGATCCTTAGAAGAGGGTTTGAGTATAGTGGCTTATTTAGAAGCTGGTTTCAAAAAATGCCCACGGTCATCAAGCAGTAAGACAGAAGAAAAATGAAGCCAGCTGGGGAATTAGAGAGCTGTTGCACACCGCCTTGGATGTAGCCCAAGGGATATGCTTGAAGCACTGGTTCTTCTTCACTTCCTAGCAATTTTGACTCTGAGAAGTGCCCTCTTCTCTGTCTCTCTGAAGATGTTGCTTCTCCAAATAGATGAGTTTTGGTTTATTTTCTTAAATCTCTGTGCATATATATGGTTGACTCTTGGGACATCACCGCCCTTGCCTTAGCACAACAGGCCGAGAAGGGCTCCTTGGGCTGGAATCCAGGCATCTGAGTTCCATGAACAGCTTGGCTGGTAGTTTGATGCTCTATACTCACAGTTTTTAAATTCTTAACCATTTTGAAATCAATGGCCTTGCATTTTTATTTTGCACTGGTCCTCACAAATTATGTATCCAGTTCTGCTAACAATTTATAATTCCATTTAAAGGCATGTATTGTATGCCCCAGATTATCACATGTAAATTTCACAAAGATGCCATAAGCAGAGCTATTTCTCATCCTTGTCACAAGACCCCAGAGAGCTGTTTTGAGACAGAGTCCCATGTAGCCCAGGGGGACTTCAAACTCATTATGTAACCAAGGATGAACAGCAGCCTAGACTGTCTGTGGTCATTTAGAAGATGCCATGAGGCCTTGGACAGTAGAGACCTATGAAGTTCTGATCCTCCTGTCTCTACCTCCCAAGAGATGGGACTGCAGGTGTGTGCCATCACACTAGGTCAAACTCAGACCTTTGTGCATGTCAGGCAAGTGAGCTACAGCCTAGCCCCATACCCAGGGCACTTAAAATGTCAATGTCTAGTCACATGAATCCAGGTCACATGAATGAAGTCCCCTTATTGTGTTCTAACATTTTCCTGCCCTCGGATAAATGCTGCAGGAAACACTACACCCATCATACTGCCTCCATCTGACTTCTGAGCTTCCCATCAGCCTGGCCCAGGTCCTCCCTGGGTCATTAGGGTAGAAGAGAATAAGGATCCAGCAGCATTTCTCCTAAAGACCAGTGCCTTTCTTTTCTTCCTCTCCCAGAACCCAAACTCCTGATGAACTTCCTTGAAGAAATTCCAGATAGCACGCTGGTGCTGGTGGCCTCCTATGATGACCCAGGCACCAAGTAAGTGGGAAACGTCACCTCCACGTGGTGATGCAAACCTAATACTTCACACCTGCACACACTCTCCTACTCTTCTGAAAGCCCCACCCTCCAGCTAATTATCCTGAGAAAAGAATGAGGGAAGTCTGGAAAATGATGTTCTGGGTGGTATGCTGTGACCTACATTACAATGATGGCAAAGTCTCCCCATCCAAGAGCCACTGGCTGGTTACAGAAATTATAGCATGATGACACATCATATGTGCATATGAGAAGACACATTGCATTGAAAATGATGGCGTGAAAAAATATTAATGACTTGCAAGAATGTTCACTATCTTAGTGTTCTGTTGCTCTGAAGAGACACCATAACCACAGCAACTTTTATAATAGAAAGCATTTGACTGGGGCTGGCTTACAGTTTCAGAGGTTTAGTCCACTATCATTGTGTCAGGGAGCATAGCAGCAGACAGGCAGGCATGGTCCTGGAGAAGTAGCCGAGAGCTACATCATAATCTGCAGGTAGAGAGAGGGAGGTAATGAGATTGAGCCTGGCATGAGCTTTTGAAATTCAAAGCCCATCCCCAGTGACACGCTTCCTCTAGCAAAGCCACACTTCCTAATTGATATAATCCTTTCAAACAGTTCCACTCTCTGTGACCAAGCATTCAAGTATATGAGCCTCCCGGAGACCTTCTTATTCAAACCACGACACTCGCCCTCTAGGGCTGAGTGAGCAAAATAAATACATGCATTCATTAGGCTGGTGAGGTGGCTGAATGAATAATAAGCTTTCTGAGTAAGAGTGGAGAGTTGAGTTCAAATTCCCAGAACCTACATCAATAATAGGCAGACATAGTAGCCAGCCTGTAATTCTAGCCTCTGAAAGCTAGCCAAGCTAGCCAAATCAGTGATCTCTGTGTTTGATTGAGAACCCTGACTCAAAAGAATAAATTAAAAGAGTGATGAAAAATATTCTCCATATCAGCCTTGGTCCACCACATATACACATGCATATGCACATATATACATGTGTGTCCATACACATGCAATCATACATGTACATGCATATACAAATACATGAGAACAAGAAAAAATCCCCTTGTACTACATAGCTTGTTATGACTCACTGTATGGACCCATTAAAATCAGATCATTTAGTAAATGCCATAGCCAGCTTGGCTTGTGTGAACACACTCTTGGTGTTCACACACTGAATAAGTGTGAATGCCTAACAGCACATCTCTCAGAACGGATCTCACTGTTAAACTCGTGGCCATATTGACATGTTTATGATGATTTCCACAAGGGAGAAGGATAGACCCACCTTTCAGTTAGTCCTTCTCGATGTCCTGTGTTCCCTGCAAACAGAGTAGCACTGTCCAAATGCCTCTCCAGCCCCACCCAAAGCTCTCTTAAGAGCCTCAGCCCCCATGCCAATCCAGTGAACTTTGAGAGCCTCAGAAGGCAGGTGTTATGTGTGCAGGTGGAGAGTGGGGGAGGTAATTGAGAGCCTCACCCTGTTCCCACCCCCTCATCAATGTCCTTCAGTCTCACCCAACTGTTCTCTCTGGTCCTCTGCAGAATGAATGACAAAATCAGGATGATCTTCTCCAACCTGGGGAGTTCCTATGCAAATCAGCTGGGCTTCCGGGACAGCTGGGTCTTCTTAGGTGCCAAAGACCTCAAGAATAAAAGCCCCTTTGAGCAGGTTGGTTCCTGGCTGCCCCCTGTCTGAGTGAGGGCTAAGTGGACAAGGAGCTGCAGGGGTGGAAGGACAGTCACTCCTGTAGGCTATATCATTGGTCAGAAACGCCACACAGAACCATCAGGGAGGGCCATCATGGTAGAGCAAAGCTGCTCGTCTCATGGAGCCAGCGAGCAGAGAGCAAATGTCCGGGCTAGTAGTTTCTCCTTTTTCCTTTTATCCAGGCCCCCGGCCTGTGGATGGGATGGCTTGGATTAGTAACTGCCCTTTTCATTAATCCTCTCTGGAAATACTCGTACTTTATAGACCTCCTAGCCACTTCTCAGCCCAGCCAATGCGTAATCAAATTAACCATCACCCACATTTAGAAATCAGGCCTAGTTCAAGAGAGACTAACCTAGGAGAAGAAAGGAGAGAATATCCATGACCTCTGGGTGAGAATGCAGGGCCTGGACTGGGCACTAGCACACACAGAGGAGTCAGGACACTGAGCAGAGCTAAGCTGCACTGGTCAGGCAGGGACTCTTTCTTCCTCCTTGTTGGAAAGGGTCCAGATCCATCAAAAGCAGATGGCCATACAGCAAGGCCCCAAAGATATCCTATGTTGCCATACTGGTAACATATTAGAGAAATCACATGAAGAATTTCCCAACTAGGGGAAACATACACAGTGACATTTTCTCTCTGTGCCTCAGTTTCCTGCACAGTAGAATGGAACCATGACAGTATGCACTTCCCAGGGCTGCTGTGTACATCAAATACATAAGGCAGCTTGTGATGGTGCCAGGCATGCAGTAGATGCTCAATAATTGCTCGGATTCTTCTTTTCCGTGCTTTTATTATTGTGATTTGAGACTTAAAGGAGGTTAGTGGAGGCTTTGGAGAAGGGCGACAGCTCTCCAACTCTCCTGATCCTTGGTGCCTCCATGGGGCACAATGGGCTCCAACCCTGTTTCTGAGACCTCAAGCAAGCTGTGGTTCTTCTCTGAGCTTCTTGCCCCATCTGTAAAACGAGGCTATGGCAGAGGTAAGAGAGCCCTCTGAGTGTTGAGGGTCAGTGCAAAAGCTTTTTCATGAGTCCTAGACAGCCTTGCCCACTGTCTGAAACATCTCTCTTCTCTCCCTAGTTCTTAAAGAACAATCCAGAAACAAACAAATATGAAGGATGGCCGGAGTTACTAGAGCTGGAGGGTTGTGTGCCACGGAAGGTATTTTAGGGTGGCCATGGACCTTTCAGGCCAGGGAGCCAAAGAAATGCCCAACTGACTTGAGAGCGGAGCCCAGGATTGCTGGATCTGTGCTGATAGGAGCTGACTAGGAGGAAGAAAGGGAGAAGCCATATGAGATGCGCTGACCATCCTCCCACACAATGTGACTTACTTCCTCTCTGAGGAAACAACAGCCTCCCACTACCCCACAAGGACCAGCTTGGAGATGGGCCCCTGCACAGGGCCTGTGGAACCAGCTGTGAGGGAGACAAGTGAGACCTTCCAAAACTGTCCGTGGTTGTCTCCAGAAGGACTGGCTGCCTACACTTGAGCAGGATTAAATTCTATTTTTGCTGAATTTGAACTTTCCAGCCTCTCAAATTGTGGTGGTTCTCCCTGGGATTGTACAGGTCTAGTCTCAGCATGGGTTCTGGAGCTGGATAGGTAGTGGTAGCTCATCTGGCAGCTGGAATGGAGTCTGGTTTCTTGGAATTTCACAAAATGCCAGGCACAAAAAAACTTGGTTCTCAAGATGGACAGGAGCAGGAAAGCCTAGGAGACAGGATACGCAGACCATCATCTTGACATGCTCTTTTAAGACAAGCCAGAGGTGACCCAAAGCTGGAGAAAAGGAAGAAGGGAGCAGATCTAAGGCAGGGAGATTCTTACATCTGCCTGGCTTTGGATTTCCCAGAGGCACAATCTGAAACAAGCATTTGGGGACAGGCATTGTGTCTGGGGAAAGGGACAGCCAATAAGGGGACCCCTCTGAACAGTGGGGGCTTCCTCCCAGACCCTGAATTAGGCACAAATCACACCCAAACACTTGTTTTCACAGAGAGATCCTTTACTAAGCCCGGAAGAAAGGTTAAAGTGGCTGCTTTCTGACTCAGGCAGAAAACAGCAGCAAAAGACCTTGCAGGTGTAGTTTTAAGGCAAGGAAAAGGGGAGGTCTGTGTTAGAATGGACTAGGATGTGGTGGTAAAGGAGATAGAGGATGAGGGAGAAGGGGAAGGGGACAAAGGAAAGGGGGCAGGGGTATTTGTCCCAGAGGGACAAAGGACGCCTCTGGATAGAGAGGAGACAGACAGGGCACATAGGCAAATGGAGGTTTACAAAGGTAAAGGGGGAACCCCTGTGTTAGGATGAGGTGTTTGATTTTAACTGAGCATGTTAATTAGGTGAGCCAAAGGGGGCTCTTGATTGCTGGCCTTTGGTAGTCAGCCTCAGGAAGAGGAAGTGGCCAAATAAGGGAACAGACCTTGGGGGCCAGCTTTAGGAATGTGATCTAATGGTTTTTAGCAAGGCAGAGGGGATGGGAGAGAAAGGTAAGGCCAGCCAGAGCCACCTGCTCCAGTGGGCTAGTGTCCCTTCAGTGTTGCTAACCCAACTGCTGGACACTGGAGTGAGATCCCACCAGGAACTTTGGAACTTGTAACAACTATCTAAATTGTCCCAGTATAATAAAAACTCAAGAGTCAGAAATTGAGATAAAGACCTGATAAATCCAAGGACTGACCCTCTCTCCATGTTTTTTCCCAAACCATCAGCCCTGGAAATCCCACTTCTCTCTTCCTGTCCTCTCTAGCAGACCTCCTCAGTCTTCCAAGAACTCTATGGCTAATCCTGGTCACCAGTCATTGTCCTTTGATTCAAAGTGGCTTTACTGCCACAGTGGAATGGCTGTACAAACAATTCTTCTCCAACAGGGACTCTGCAGAACACACACCTCAGAGATGGCATCCTTCAGATCTGGAGAAGTGGGGTGTTTATATACCAACCCCAGCCAACTATTTGGTGAGGGAAGGCTGCTGCTGTTGGTGCAATGTGCATCCCTAGGCACTTCTTGTCCACTTCACAGTGAGTCATTGGCCAAAAGATGTCAGTGTCAGCTGCCAGTAGACTAGTAAGTGCTATGAGAAGAGAAAAAAATCATAAGACATGTCCAGGATCTCTGAGAAGGGTCCAGTTCCCAAGCTCTCAACCAAATCCTAGTAGGGGCTCATAGGAGCACGTATGGAGGATGTCAAGTTTATTGGGGGAAAGCCCCAGTCTCAAGTGGTAAGTTTCTAAGCCCTGAACACAGGGAGGACTTCACATATGTCCAGGGCCTGGTGGAGAGAAGATAGTTGGGAACCCTGAACCAGAGGCTTTGGTGGTATGAGACACAGGCTCCAGTGTGACAGCTGAGAGCAAGCTGAGCTGAGGAACTGGAAGATGCCCACTCAGGCAGCCCATTAAGCCCCTTCAATCCAGACTAACATAGAATGTCTTCAGAAACAAAGAGGGCCCCATATAAACACCTGTACTCACATGAACACAATGCTTCAGAAATCCACCGTGGGAATTAACATCGGAAGACAGTTTTCATAAACACCTTTGTATTCCTGAAAGTGTTTATTTACAATGAGCAAAGATACCTTATAAGACTTAAAAGGAGCCAATAAAGACTTCTAAAGTGAGTTTATGGCCAGAGACAGGACTAGGCAGGTAGCTCTTAACAGTGGTCACTATTTTAAAAGGACCTGGGTGGCCATCTGGGTGTAAATGAAGGCAGTGTACACACTGAACAGTGTACTAGACAAGGCTGAGAACATGTAACCAGCTCAGAACTGAGGAAAGAGGTTTGGACACACAGCAGGGGAGGGGAAACAGCAATACTACACCCAGGTCCCTGCACCTAGGGTGGCCTCTAATGGTACATTATTTTTCTCATTGCTGTGACAAGGTGTATTCCAAAAACAGCTTAAGGCAGGAAATGCTTATTTGTGCCACAATCTAAGGGCACAGTCACAGTGGCAGGAGCATAAGACAGCTGGCCGCATGCATCAGCAGTCATGGAGCAGAGACTGATGAATGCTTGCACTCAGCATCCTTTCTCAGTTTTATTCAGTCTGGGACCCCCAACTCATGGAACAGTGCTACCCATGTTGAGGGTGGGTCTCCCTGTCTCAATTAACTCAGGGATGTGCCTCACAGACATTCCAGAGGGCTGTCTCCTAAATGAGTCTAGACCCTGCCAAATTGACAGGAAGCACCACCACAAATGGTCAGCTTGACCTGTTCCTTAGAGAAAGGCCTTCCCAAAGGCCTGGGTTTCTCTGACCCTCCAAGGGCCCTCAGCTGTTCACTGACAGTAGAGATGGAAGGCCAGCTCACTGTCTTGGCCTGAGCCCATGGGCTCCATCAGAAGCTGGCACTTAGCCTGGAGTGTCCTATCCCTCCTTTCCCTTAGCAGTGTTCCCTAGTTGCCAGCCATTAATAGCTCATCTACAGGAGACTCTTTGACAGAAGAGCCTGGGGTCCCTGGGTGTGCTAGCTAGATGAGACTTCATCTGTACCTGGGCTAAGAGATGAGAGTACCTTCTGCAGAACAGCTGTAGTTATGGGGTCATTTCTCCAAGAGATCACTCTCAGAGTGAGGAGCTGTAGGCAAGGAGCCACAGCTGGTGCTGCCATGTGGCTTCTGCTGTGGGAAAGGCCACATGCTGTCCCATGCTGAAAGTACCAGGCAGATGGTGGCTCAAGGTCCACCAATCTCCCCCTCCTTGACAAGGTACAATGCCCCACTGACATATCCTCAGATGCAGTGTGGAAAATGAACTCAAGTGGCCATCACCTGAATCTCCGAAGCTCCCTAGGAAGACTGATACTGGAGGTGAGTGTCACGGTATGACCAACACTGTGAGAGTCAACATTATTTTCAGGGTGTTGCAGCCATGACAAGGATGACACATTTAGCCTAGGATGGAGGCAGAGAAGACTTGAGTCCAAGAATGTGACTGCAGAGTATCGGGTCCACATCCCTCAAACTCAGCTTCCTCGCTCCTCAGTCGTTAATCATCTACTGGGCTTCTGGAAGCATAAAGGAATGTGGGACCACTGCCTCATGGAGTGGGGCCACATACACATCAGGATTATCAGTGAGAAGGACCCAAGACACCTGCCCCAGTCTTGGGGCAGGGAAGCCATTGAGAGAAGGTAATATCCACAGGAGCCCCTCCTTAAAGTGCCTAAGAGTCAGCCGGGCAGCAGATGGAACAGAGGTGTATGGCTGGATGGGCAGACCTGTGAGCAAGGCCTGGGAGGGGTGGAGGTAGGGAAAAGACTGAATGGGTGGGCTGAGCACCAAACCGTTTTCTGTGCCAGGCGGAGAGCTTGGATCTGGTACAGTGGTGATGTGTTATGTTTAAACTAGACACAAAACAATTAGGTCTACTTTTTTTTTTAACTCCTCAGTGTTATGTAGAGGTAAGGAGGCCAAGAATAGGATTCTGTGTCATCAAGAGGCAGAAGATGATAGGCTAAGTTAGGATGGGCCTTGCAGATGGTCTATTTAGAATGTAAAATGGATGAGACTTGAGGTTGACTTGCTCATTGCTGTAGACAAGCATCCAAGTATCTCTTCATGCTAATGGTGGCCTCAGTATGTGAGACTTGTATCTTCTTCCTGGCTCCCTGTCAATGGACCTGCTGCACGCCCCAAGAGCAGAGCTTAGGCCCTGTGTGGCACACAGCATGTATCTGCTCCCTTCCACCTTGTTCTCTTAAGAAGCCGAAATTCTGATTCTCACCAGCAGATGGCAGCATAGGAATGAAAGGAAAGGCAAGATGCCCTGGCCCATCACCTCTTTGGAAAAAGCTTGAACTGGCCATCTGGCTTCACCAACAGGCAGAGAACTAACTGGCCACCCTTATTGACATCATGATAACAGCAACACCTTACCACTGGAGAACTGCAGACTCCTAGGAGCGAGCCTCACACCATCATCTACCTCACTTCATCCTCAGGACGTCATTGAATAGGAACCATGATATTCCCTTTCACACACGATGAGAAGGTCCAGACGCACAGAGGTGAAGTGCCTCAGAATAAGTTCTGGAATTTCAGCCTGCCTCTGTTGCCATTCAAAACTCATGCTTTGGGAGGAGTGGAGACCAGTTGACTACAGGGTTTGGAGTGTTCTTTTCCAAAGTTCTCCCCCTCTGTGATCCTGGCTTCCTCCCACTGGAAAGGAGTAGATATTTATCCCCATTTTGCAGATGAATAGCAAGAGGCTATGGAGTGCAGAGCCACCCAGTGAAAAAGTACAAAGAAGGATGAGGAACACATGATCCTTGGCCCTCCATTTCCCTGGGACCGCTCTATTACCTCCTGCTCATGTGGAGTGGTCTGGACATTGCACTGCGTCCTCCAGAGATGGACTTCCAAGTCCAAGAGAAAGCTCAGTCACTAGGTTCCCAGGCAATTCACAAGCCCTATCAGCAGGAGTTCAGGCAGAGGAGGGAAAATATAATAAACATGTGAAACGCTTTCCCTCCCATC